TCTCTTGTTTTCGCTCCGCCGCTCTGTCTCATCACAGTGTCACGCCAGGCCTTTGGCAGATCTGTCCGTCTGTCTGTCGTCCCTTAAAACCTCTTTGAAATACTAATGCGGTGGCGCCTAAGATTCTGCTGCTACTTAGATTAAATTAAGAGCTAATCGGAGACACCAGGCCACATAGGCCACTGTATTACTTTACAGTATCAAGACGGACATCGTGCCTTTGTTGCCGTTGATGAATAAATGAATGAAAACACTCAGTCAGCTGATTTTCTCCTTTAAAGCTAGCTTCCTTTTGTCTTTTCATAGCAATTAATGAGGAAATGGAAATAAGTTGTCATGAGGACATTTCATTTTTCCAGTCGATAACTAAGACAACAAGTCTTACAATAATTGAAGGAAGACCGTAATTATAAACATGTATCATTGTTGTCATCTCTTTTTTCTTCCAAATTAAATTAAAGATTATTATTAAGAACAGGGACAACTTTAAGTGAACACATTTGGTTTCACCAGTAGGATAACATCCTTCTTCCAGACCTGGGTTGCCGTTGCGAGCCAGTGTTGCCGGGTGGGTCAGGGTTGCCGCGGGTGACCAGGGTGCTGACATGTCCAGGCTCCAGCAATAAACAGGCAAAGACTAATGGCATCTGAGGCAATGGCGAACTCTGACCTCCAAAGTTTTTTTTCTCCCCTCACTTCTGCTGTTTAGACGAGGCTCTACATATCTGGTTTGTGTTTCCATAGCTGAGAAGTGATAGGTCTCAACTTTACACCACGCTGCAGTAACAAAGTGTTGCATTTTATATTGAATATCATTTCTTTACTCACAACAGACCAAACACATGAGTGAGTCACTGTATGACTATTATAACAACACTTGAGTTCCATAAAAAAACATTTATGATGCTCATTTCCTTGGAAGTGCAACTAAAATCAGATATAAAATGCACATTTTTCATCACAGACTCCCTACTCCAACCTAAAAGAGGCATTATTCCAATAAATCTTGACTAAAAAGTTGAGTGTCCTTTGCCCTGTTCTTCTATGTTTTGTTACATTCCACCCAAAACCATTAAGACCATTAGGAGGTACAAAAATAATGCCTATAACGATTATTGCACCTATCCATCCATCCACTCATTCATCCATCCATCTTTCACCTCCTGTCGCCCACCCCCCAGCCTGGATTCCTCCACCAAACAAGGCCCACGACATCGAGGCTCCTGCCCTCCTCTGCCAGCGCAGAAATGAATTATATTGCTTTTCACACCTGTTTCTGCTCAAAAGCCTGCTGCACGCTGCTGTGTTTAAAAAAAAAAAAGGAAAAACATTTCCAAGGGGGGTAACTGAGCTCCCCAGCTCGGCTACATCTGCGTACACGAGCGGTTAAATTAAACTCTAATTGTATTAACGGGGGATTATGCCTTCCAGTTGGATTTTTGTTATACTCTCTCTCTGTGCATTTTGCACGTTTTAAGAGGAGAAAGGAGGAGAAAAAAGCTCAGCTCATTGAGGGTTTGCGGGTTGGCTCCTTTTACGAGCTGCGATCACGGCTGCCCCTCGTTACACTGAGTCTGTGTACAAATAGGAGGGGAGGAGAGCCAGAATGAGAGTGTTAGTGATAATGTGTATGAGGGTGTGTGTGTATCAGTCTGCCAGGCTAATATAGCGATGCTAACACTCTGAATGCCAAAACCCCCTGCCCTGCCCTCCACACACACAGACACACACACACACACACACACACACACACGCACAC